GAAGCAATTATTGCAAACTCTAAAATACATGCATCTACTGGGGCCAAAACTAATTCCAACAGATAGCCCCAGGCAGATCAACATTCTCGCCAAATGATTAGCTGTCCCAGGGGAAGCACAGCCGTGCGCATGAATCTGGCCAGACTTTGACGTCTACGGACACGGTTTTGCTCTGACGCTACGGGGACTGAATGTTCAAATAGCTTTCTATCGCTTTGCCAGGAGATCGGAGACATTAGTTCATCAGAATCTTTTAATGAGAAAAATAAAACTGACATCAACATTTAACAACTGTGTTCTTACCCAAATCCTCATAAAATCCCGCCGATATCATCATGCACAGATATCAGTGTGAGATTCTCGCACATTTAAGATTCTATCCCCAGCATAAATAAAATCATCTTGTTTATATTAATGATGAAGTCTGAGCTGATCTAGGGAAAATATACTTACCACAAAAACCCTTATTGTAAATGCACAGACAGCCCAGGTATCGAGGGGATCCCAGGGTTAGGTGAGAACATTATAACACTGTATCACAATATCCTCTGCGTTGGGGTTTATATCCAGGGTGGAGTGCTGGCAAAAAAGACATTCTTGTAATCGTGAGTAACCCCACCTTCAGTACTGCTGAGTGACAGCCGGGTTTATGTCCAAACTAAATCTGGTGGCACAGGGCTTAACTCTGTGGCTGAGCGCGATGACCTGGAACGCCACGATATTGGAAAGAGATGGTATGGATGGTCCTTAACCATACAAACTTTATCTGCTGAGCTACTTGATAGGCTCTAAGCTTTGTGAGTGCATAGTCACTTTGATTATACTCTGTGTTATTAAACAATATTATACTACATATTCTTTCTCTACTAAGATTGCCTAAAGAACTACCAGGTAAGGCAAGAATATCCTTTTAATACACCTACCAGAGGGGAGTGGCTGCATAAACAGACCCAGAAGCCATTATAGCCAGAGCTAGGTTTAATAGCTCTGGGATATGTGTTTGTTACATTTTTGACATTTCTACATGATAAGTGTTACATAGTTACATAGCTGAAAAGAGACTTGCATCCATCAAGTTCAGCCTTCCTCATATATGTTTTTGCTGTTGATCCAAAAGATGGAAAAAACTAGTCTGAAGCGCTTCCAATTTTGCAACAAACTAGGAAAAAAATTCCTTCTTGACCCCAAAATAGCAGTCAGACATCTCCTTGGATCAAGCAGCTATTACCCCACTAATTAGAAATTATATCCCTGTATGTTATGTTTTTGGAAGTATTTATCCAATTGCTGTTTAAACATTTGTATGGACTCTGATAAAACCACCTCTTCAGGCAGAGAATCCCACATCCTTGTAGTTCTTTCTGTATAATAGGTTTAACACTATTTTTTATATTTGCTGATTCCTTAATGGTATGCACTGTGGAGTACTGTTGTACTCGATATCATAGCATACAAATATGTGTATTTTATTGCAGTAAAAACTATACAGTATTATGACATTTTCAATTAAAATGCAATGCATAACTTGGAAAATATGTCTTTAAACTACAATAAATGTGCTTACAGAAATTTATGTGTAAATAAGATCATTTGTTCTTGTTCAAAATTACATTTAAGTTGTGTACATTATTATTAGCAAATCACCTAAACATTCAAAATACCTCAACACACTCACACTCCATAAATTAAGGTGCCCATCTTTGTCCATCTGAAAGATTGGGAAGTATGCAATGGACAGGGATATATAAACAATTGGTCAAATGCTGACAAATAACAACAGAACACTGTATATGTTCATCTGTTCAGCTATACTGCTAGTTCTACCACCTTCTCCCCATATGTTTCTCTTTATTCTTCCTCCAATGTGTGACCTCGCTATGCTTGGAATGAAATGGATTGTGATGTCAACAGATAAATAATGTATATAGATATAAAAGAAACCATAGACTATCACATGAAAAGGGGTTAACACGATTTATAGTTTTTTTTTAATATTATTTTGAATGGTCTAATTGTCAGAGAAGTAACAGTTTCCCTTTACCTTAATTTCTAATACTTTCTCATCCCTCCCAACTCCAGCTTTCTGAGGACCAGATTGCCAGTGGGAGGGAGTTAAAGGGATTGGGCCAGTGACGCGATTGTGTCACTAGCTCCGCTCCAGAGGGGCATATAATGTGCTGGGGTTATGATTGTTGGGGACAGTTTCCTGGTATCCCCAAAAGTTGGACACCTGGGAACTTATCCGGGACAGTACTCGAAAATCATGACTGTATGCCGAAACTAGACGGATGGGAGGCATGCGTCCCTTAAAAAAGTCTAATTATATTTATTCTCATTTTATATCTCAATTTCATATTCCTCCCAATTCTTAATGTCCTTTCCCTCCTTTTCTTTATCCTTAAGAATGGTGTGAGTAAACGAGAAG